GATCTATGCACATGTGAACTGGAAAAATTAATAATAATATATAGGCATTCAGAAAGCATATACAGTGCCCACACTTCCATGCTGTCAAACAAATGAACGTTATCACCATTTTAATCACTTCTTTATTAGGAATCACAGTCTGTTATACAGAGTTGGAGTGCTTCAAGTTATAGTGCGTTCACCTTCAGCCCCCCACCCTCTGTCCTTTGGGTAATTCATCACCAAGCTCTCTGTGCTTGATTAGAGAATGCATCAGTGAGATAAGAGTCCCACAAGCCTGAATTTGAGGAGAGAGGAAGCTAGGAAGTGAGAGCCACCAAAAGTCAGAGTTGGGAAAAAAAAAAAAAGTGGGAGGGGCAGAGGCTGAAAGTGTGGAAGTTGAGAAGACTTTGCTTTAAGTGCTTAAGGTTTATCTACTAAGCTGATGGCTGAGGTTGTGTGTCTGAGTTAAAAAGGCTGGAGAGAGTTACTGGGCATAATTTCTCCATCTTCAACGATTTACTACTGAAGTGCAAACATCATGCTTGGACTCTCTCCTGAGAAAGGTTTAACAAAGTCAGTGAACTACCAGTACCTTGATATCTTTCTAGATTTGCCAAATTTTGATAGTTCTCTAATAAACCCATGCTTGAAATTTATCTGTTTTTTTTTTTCTTAATTTCTATTCAGGAAACAGGTCCATTAGTAAATATGCAGATGTAAAAATGATCTTCCTCTTTACTTCTCCATTGAGATATATCTTGGAATTGTTGAGAAATGCACTCCATTGTTAAGGCTATTTGTGCCGGGTGTGCTAATGCACTCTTTGATTGAGTGAATTAGCAGTCATAACAATCTGGCAGTCTGGCCATAGAAGTGTGCTCAAATTGATTTGTGTTATGGCTGGACTGGAAAATCTAGTGTTAGTTGTTTTTTGCCCTGGGGCATTGTTTGTACCAAACTCTACTTTTCATTTAATTTTCCAATACATTTTGAAAGATTGAAATGCTTGTGATCAACATTTGATCCACTTGCATTATTTTAAAAAAATTTCTGAAAGTAATTTCAGATTCCAAAAAACCTTGCTTTCAATTAGAGTAAACATAATTAGAGTGACGTCGTGCTCGGAATGGTAAATCTCCCTTTGAATCTATTAAGCATGTTATCTCCTTGTCCTGTCACTAAAAGGAATTCAGTATATACATGGAGTGTACATCTGTATTTCTCTGTATATGTTTCTAATAGAACTTGGGAAAATTAAAATAATAAAATTATAATGAATATTTTCTTGTTGTCTTTTTACATGTGCTTAAATTGTTCCTTTCACTAAGTGTTGCCCTAAAAAGAGGATTCTCAAAGCTTTCAAGAAAATTTGAGAGTAAATGAACACATTCAGATATACATTGCCTTTAAGTTACTCAATCATTTTAGTTTTTATATTCTATAAAATATGTATTTTCCTTTTGTAACATAACTGTATCAATTGCTATATTGAAACTCTGAAGATTTAAAGACATGACTTATCCTGGCTTTGTCGATATTTGTGTCTTTCTTACAATCTTCTGCTTTGCAGTCGTTTACCAGAATTATAATGCAGCATGAATAAACCTAAAAAATGACTATTGATTACAGAGAAAGCTTTTGTGAAATCATTTAGTCAGTTTCCCCACTTGAGAAATCAGTGAATAAAATAGGTCAATAGATAAGGATGGCATAGATGTAATACAGTGCTATGCCTCCCTGGGTTATAGAAAGGGTCAAAAATAAATCCCCATAGAATTCATGTATTATACTCATAAAATAAAATGATACTTACCAAATCCCAACTACAAGTCCATCTTTCTACAGATCTATTCTTCTTTTTTTTTTTAAACCACAGCTCTGTGAATATGTTTGTATGTGTCCCTGTTTTATTTCCTTGTCACTGCCCCTTTTAACCAAATAGGATGCCCTCATCATCTGGCTAAAGTGTCTGTTGTCATCCAGGTATTCACCGGGACTCTGGCTGCAAAAGCTACTTTGTATTTTCTCACTGTCGCCTGTAACCTTACAGATCTTTTCAAAACTGCATTTCATATTGCACTAAACTCTTATCTTCTGCCGATTTTTGTTAAGTAATAGATGATGAGACCTAAGTCCACTCTCTCTTTTAGTTCCCATTCGAACGGATCTCATCAGGGGAGGAAGGGATAAGGGGGGAAGGGAGGGGAGGGGCCAGAAGGGGGCAGGAGGAGGGAAGAAAATACCTTCCCTGAACTGGTACAAGCTAAGCTTCAAACGATATCCTAGGAAAGAAATTAAAGACTTCTTAATTAGTGCAGCAATTAAGCTTTCTTGGTAGCATTTTAATCAGCACAGGCCCTATCAAAGGACAAACAGAACGATTTGCAGGTCTTTGAATTTTAAACAGTCTTATTGATTTCTGCACAATACGTCTTCACAAAACACAGGGAGAATTTTCTAATATCAGTTACAGTACTTTGAGTTTTGCTTATGCAAATTGAGTGAAGGTTGGGGAAGATGAGATGGTAGGAGAGGACCTGAAACAACCAGAGATGTAAAACAATAAACAAACAAGACAAAAGCTCTGAAAGCTAAAGATGCAATGGAGTGAGAATGTGAAATCTCTCTCAAGTTGATTTATCTGCTGTTGTTAAATACTGTTTGCTTTAATCGCTGGCAACATTTCTCAAAAAAAAAAAAAGGTAAGAGAAAGATAAGAAAAAAAATCCTTCAATTTGTTTCAAGGCTTTTCTTTCCTAGGTATTTTAATTTGCATTATACGCCTTTTCTAATCCTATTGTTTGATCAAAGGAGTAAGTGGTGGTTCCTTCAAATGGTTTAGAGACCTGAGGTCAGGGGAAGCTCCATTCAGGTGGGGGCAAATGCCCCCAAGCCCTGTTCTGAGTGGAGCACGTGCTCAGAGGTGCAGGTTTCTGTGTAGAAGGAAATTTGGAGTTGGCTTTTAAGTAGGGTAGAATGATGACTTGGTCAGCTACCACGCTTCCTGTCTGGCTTCAGAATGTGGCAGGTATGGGGTGAGTGATAGTTTAAGGAAATGTGAGAAATGTGAATGGTAAGGGCAGATTTGGGACATTTAACTTACATTTTTTCCCATTTGTGAGACTAAAATTACAAGTGAGGATATGTAGTGCAGCATCTTAAAAATCATATCGGAGTTTATTAGAAGTGAGGCATGCAATCCCACAATCAAATTTGCTTTTCAGAGCTTGGTACTTTCTTCCTCTTCCCCTGATTAACACAATAATTTAGCATTTTTCAAATGGTACTATTTTCTAAAACATACATAAACACTTAAAACAATGTTTTAATGTATGAAACACATATTGAATCCCTAATTTTAATCTAGGACAGATTTGGGGGATTGAAAAATCAATAAAATTATTTCTGAATATATTAAAATACATTGGCTAAACTAGGCCAAACAGCAGTGGCAACTTTAGTTATCATTACAGAAGTTTATCTGCTTTTCTACAAAAATTTTCTGAATTCTTGTAACTCAGAAAAACCTCTTAATCTAACTGCCATGCCCCAGAAAGTTTAGCATAAAGAGACTAATTAGCCAATAGTGTCATATTTCTCTGTAGATGGTTCCTGTACCTTTTGCCACCACACTTCAAAGAGTTTAAAGGATTGACATGATAAGGAGAAAAGTGATGACAATTTCAACACCAAAATGGCAAAAATTTCATCCTCAATACCAAGAACCTGCTGTTAATAGTTAATGTCTAAAATCCAGGGAATGCTTGTTTCATATCTTGTGAAGTCACTGAGCATGTGTAGACAGGTTCAATGCCTCACTATTTAAGATTCCTATAGATATGAAGCAACAAACTGACATGACAATGCTCAAATCATATGTTTGGGCAAAGATCCTTGAATAAGTACCTCTATGCAACAAGTGAGAAAAGAGAAGAAAAGGAGAAAAGAAAGAAAGAAGAGAGTCACTCTAAACTCTGCCTAATGTTTTCAAGCACAGTTACCCTTTCTGCCTTTACAAGTTAGCCAGCAAGCTTAGTTTTTGTTCTCATTATTTACATAACAAACATTTTCATTGACAAAATGAAAAAGACTTTCCCAAAATATAGTTGTGCCTTTCAAATATGAAAAAAAGAATCCCACAGAAATATCATGTTACTTAAATAACACACTAGCAACTAGTCTTGGGTCTTAAAGGATATGAGGATGGTTGGCTACTCTGAAAGACAGGTGAATTAATTATAGAGTTTTGGATGAGAAAATCAGTGTGTCTTTGTTTTCTAGTTTTTAAGTCTTTAAGGGTGTCCAAATCTCTTTGAATTCTCTGAGTATAACAGGCATTTCTGACCTGTCTTCAGGGTGAAAGTGAAGTTACTCTAAAGGATCTATCTCATGGCAAGTATTTATTTTTGCAGTCTATCAGGAGGGAAGGGATTATATAAAACATTGTTATTCTTCAGCGATTTTGGACTTTTCTCCCCACAACTTGAAAGCTACCCTGAAATTTTCACTATCTTTATAAAAAATAAATAATTTATTAGAGAAATAAAACAATCAGACGCATAAAACATTACGCTCTGCTTACATGTGAATTTTCCTCAAAATAATTTCTTAATAATCATGAAGCAGGGATGTGTTGTTTTCATTTAAATCTCTTTGCCAAAACGCTTGGAGATATATCCTAAATCCTTGAAGGAGAACTCAGAGCGCTCTGGCTCCTGTGGAAGTTGTCAGGCGATGGCTTAGAAGCTTTGGGGGAAAAAATTACGAGTCGTCGCAGAAGGAATTGAATATTAGACATGCAACCTAACGGTAGTAGTAGAAGAGAAGCAGACGAAGGTCTATCTTTCCTTTTCCGATCGCCACTTCTGTGTCCCAGGCTTTTCCTCTCCGTCCCTCCCACAGTTTCTTTCCATATCCTCCCCCTCCCCTCCTCCTTTTCTTGTTCCCTCTCTCCCCCCACCCCTCTCTCCCCCTACGTCTCGCGCTCTCGGAGTCTCTGCTCCGAGTTCCTGGTTGGATAATTTGGGTTAATACTAGTGAGTGAGGTTTTTGCGGCTTCAAAGGGTATTTCAAGTTTCCGGAGCTCCTCCCCTCTGCACCGTGTGACAACAACAACTCGTCCAGCCGGCAGCCTGCACTTTTCAGCTCATTTTCTCTCTGTCATTCCCCTCTCAATCTTTGATCAATGTACTTGCCAGGGAGAACCCAAGTCCCTCAATCCTCCTCCTTTCCACCTTCATCCTTAACTTTGTGCTAGAGCGGGGACCCACACAACAACAGCCGACCCTCCCCGCCCCCGCCCCCAAACCAGCCCTCGATCCCAGCCCCTGGAGAGGACTCGCATTTCGACTTGCGGGACACTTTGTGCGTTTCTCTCTAGAGCGCCTCTCTCGCTCGCCCCTCCTGCGCTCGCTCTTTCTTACCCTCACCTCCTTTTTCCCCCTTCTCTCCCTTTCTCCTCGTCCTCTCCTAGAGTTGTTGTTGTTGTTGTTGCCCCTCTTGCTTCTTCTCCCCCCTTTCCCCCGTCCCCTCCCGGAGGTGTGTGGCAACTTTTCCCCTCTCTTCTCCTCCTTCTGTTTCCCCCCTTATATGTGACCATGGCAGTGCCGGCGGCTTTGATCCCTCCGACCCAGCTGGTCCCCCCTCAACCCCCGATCTCCACGTCTGCTTCCTCCTCTGGCACCACCACCTCCACCTCCTCGGCGACCTCGTCTCCGGCTCCGTCCATAGGACCCTCCGTGTCCTCTGGGCCAACTCTGTTCCGG